CCTCAGCATCGATGATTTTACTTCAACCACCACTTGACCCCTTTCAACTTGTGTGGTGGTCGTGGAAGCCCTCCAACCCTCTAGGAGAGTCAAGCACACTCTCTCATCAATCCATTTTTGAAAATGCTCTCCTACCAGCTTTCCATTTTGCAAAGTTCGATCCAACGAAAAGTGGGGGTCGTCCAATTGAACAACTTTCCCTTTCTTACAAATATGAAACAATGAATCTGAGAAACCTTTTAGTCACCATAAACCCTTTGTACCATGACGATTGATTTTAAATGATACGCAATTAATTCACTCAGCTCAATCTCACGGCGATCCCAACAAACCCATAAACCCAATTGCACACCGATGGTCCAAAGATTTCCGTACAATCAAATAAACAACGACACAGTGCATGTGTGTGCTAACAAATGCAAGTGTGTACAACCGAAAATAATGACCACTAGCTATTCGTTGAAGCCGAAAAGCCCTCTGAAAATACAGAGGGGAACCTCCCCCGGTTCACCAAAGNTAGAAAGTAATGACCACTAGCTATTCGTTGAAGCCAAAAAGCCCCTCTGAAAATACCGAGGGGAACCTCCCCAGGTTCACCAAAGCAGAATCCACTACTTTCAAAGTCGGCATCCAAGTACTCGAGAATTATACCTCAACCAATACCATGGTTAGATGCTCCTTTCCTTGCTATGTTTCCCCATCGAATGTACCTCTCCGACGTCTTGTGGAGCTTCACTTGGACCGATTCGCTGCACGGTTCATCTTGGCCTCGACCGATTATGGGCACCCCCAACAATCCTTGCTAGGCACGCACCAAGGATTTCGGTTTCATTCGCAACATTCTTCTTTGTATTCCCACCATTACGATTCTTAAAAAATTTTGAGCGTGTGCCAACTTGTCGGGGTGATGGGTTGGTGACACACTTGACAAACATGGCCTTGGAAGAAGTGTGGGTGCGCTCGTTCGTGTTGCCTAATTCACGATTGTCACCCACACGTATTCCCACAAAATACATCCTATCAAACGTCTCATTGGGTTGGGGATGTCTATTGGAGAGGTCATTCGATTCACAAAGATCTTTATCAAGTTTGACACATTTTGACTCAAGATTCTTCTTAGATTTGACGAGCTCTTGCCCCTCCCTCCAAAGAAAATGCATCCCGTCAGGAAGGCACTTATCCTCATCTTCTAGGCTACGTATTAGGGCGTTGGACTAGAACAAGTCCTCCTGAAGGNAAGCCCTTGCCCCTCCCTCCAAAGAAAATGCATCCCGTCAGGAAGGCACTTATCCTCATCTTCTAGGCTACGTATTAGGGCGTTGGACTAGAACAAGTCCTCCTGAAGGCCTCTTGTCTCTTATTCACTTGAGTTGACCTGATCACTTAAGTAGAGCACCTTATCTAGTTGCTTGAAGATTTGCACAAATTGTTGACCTTATCCATCTCGAATATCCTGGTAGTAATCTTCATCCTGCACACATGTGGGGATTTTCTTGTCCTTGTCATATACCTCCGTTTTAGGGCTTGCTACAACTACATTCGTGGAAGTTTCTTTGTGGGGGAGAGGGGAGAGGTCCTCCCGTGCCCGTAAAGTTCTATTCATCGTACGGAGAAGAGAAGGGTCATCACCCAAGGTCGACTCACTTTAGTGATCATTCCACTTGGCTTTTATAGCCCTCCAAATTTCACCGTGCAAACCTTCCTTCTTTTNTTACGGAGAAGAGAAGGGTCATCAACCAAGATCGACTCACTTGAGTGATCATTCCACTTGGCTTTTATAGCCCTCCAAATTTCACCGTGCAAACCTCCCTTCTTTTTATGTGCGCTTTCCGACACAACATGTCCAAATCCTTGACATTCAAAGCATTACAAACCTTGCCCCTTTTTGTCAACTTCTTTTTGGGAGTCCCTTCCCCTTATTTCTCTTCCTTCAGTAGGAGTGCTACGTGTACTAGCTATTTCCTTCTGGCCATGTGCACTCAGCATTACTAGTCTTGGAATATTTTTTGAACTTCCTTGCCAGCCTAGGTCCTCCTCGCAAAATCGGGGTGACCCGGATTTATGTCCTCCTTGATTATTTGAGCTCAAGGCCATGCCCTTCGCTTATTTTAAGGATAGAAGGATCACCTCAAAGGTCAATATAGACACCACTAGGTCATCTACCGACACCCACTCTATGTTGACACTTGTCCCCAAGGATGAGACCTTTACAAAAAATCTCCCTGTGAGAGAGATCAAGATTTTCCACTTGATGGCCACATCGTCAACCTTGAGACCTAATGCAAATAATTAATTTAAACTGTCACGCTATTTAGCAGGAAATTCACAAAAATGGTTCATCATCTTGTATCCTCAAACTCACGAATGGAGGTCTACCTATGGAGTCGAGACATCTGCAGCAACGAAGTCCCCCCTTGGGAAACTACCAGTTTGTTGCACTCTAAATTTATAGTTTTTCAGTTAGCGATCCTACGGAACTCATTTGGTGTCGCGACATTGAATATCGCTCGCATTCAAGCCTTTTGAGTTTCACCCCCTTGTCTAGTTCTCAATTTTAAGCCTCAGCATCGATGATTTTACTTCAACCACCACTTGACCCCTTTCAACTTGTGTGGTGGTCGTGGAAGCCCTCCAACCCTCTAGGAGAGTCAAGCACACTCTCTCATCAATCCATTTTTGAAAATGCTCTCCTACCAGCTTTCCATTTTGCAAAGTTCGATCCAACGAAAAGTGGGGGTCGTCCAATTGAACAACTTTCCGTTTCTTACAAATATGAAACAATGAATGTGAGAAACCTTTTAGTCACCATAAACCCTTTGTACCATGACGATTGATTTTAATTGATACGCAATTAATTCACTCAGCTCAATCTCACGGCGATCCCAACAAACCCATAAACCCAGTTGCACACCGATGGTCCAAAGATTTCCGTACAATCAAATAAACAACGACACAGTGCATGTGTGTGCTAACAAATGCAAGTGTGTACAACCGAAAATAATGACCACTAGCTATTCGTTGAAGCCGAAAAGCCCTCTGAAAATACAGAGGGGAACCTCCCCCGGTTCACCAAAGGAGAATCCACTACTTTCAAAGTCGGCATCCAAGTACTCGAGAATTATACCTCGACCAATACCATGGTTAGATGCTCCTTTCCTTGCTATGTTTCCCCGTCGAATGTACCTCTCCGACGTCTTGTGGAGCTTCACTTGGACCTATTCGCTGCACGGTTCATCTGGGCCTCGACCGATTATGGGCACCCCCAACAATCCTTGCTAGGCACGCACCAGGGATTTCGGTTTCATTGGCAACATTCTTCTTTGTATTCCCACCATTGCGATTCTTAAAAAATTTTGAGCGTGTGCCAACTTGTCGAGGTGATGGGTTGGTGACACACTTGACAAACATAGCCTTGGAAGAAGTGTGGGTGCGTTCGTTCGTGTTGCCTAATTCACGATTGTCACCCACACGTAGTCCCACAGAAAACATCCTATCAAACGTCTCATTGGGTTGGGGATGTCTATTGGAGAGGTCATTCCATTCACAAAGATCTTTATCAAGTCTGACACATTTTGACTCAAGATTCTTCTTAGATTTGACGAGCTCTTGCCCCTCCCTCCAAAGAAAATGCATCCCGTCAGGAAGGCACTTATCCTCATCTTCTAGGCTACGTATTAGGGCGTTGGACTAGAACAAGTCCTCCTGAAGGCCTCTTGTCTCTTATTCACTTGAGTTGACCTGATCACTTAAGTAGAGCACCTTATCTAGTTGCTTGAAGATTTGCACAAATTGTTGACCTTATCCATCTCGAATATCCTTGTAGTAATCTTCATCCTCCACACATGTGGGGATTTTCTTGTCTTTGTCATGTACCTCCGTTTTAGGGCTTGCTACAACTACATTCGTGGAAGTTTCTTTGTGGGGGAGAGGGGAGAGGTCCTCCCGTGCCCGTAAAGTTCTATTCATCGTACGGAGAAGAGAAGGGTCATCACCCAAGGTCGACTCACTTTAGTGATCATTCCACTTGGCTTTTATAGCCCTCCAAATTTCACCGTGCAAACCTTCCTTCTTTTTATGTGCGCTTTCCGACACAACATGTCCAAATCCTTGACATTCAAAGCATTACAAACCTTGCCCCTTTTTGTCAACTTCTTTTTGGGAGTCCCTTCCCCTTATTTCTCTTCCTTCAGTAGGAGTGCTACGTGTACTAGCTATTTCCTTCTGGCCATGTGCACTCAGCATTACTAGTCTTGGAATATTTTTTGAACTTCCTTGCCAGCCTAGGTCCTCCTCGCAAAATCGGGGTGACCCGGATTTATGTCCTCCTTGATTATTTGAGCTCAAGGCCATGCCCTTCGCTTATTTTAAGGATAGAAGGATCACCTCAAAGGTCAATATAGACACCACTAGGTCATCTACCGACACCCACTCTATGTTGACACTTGTCTCCATGGATGAGACCTTTAAAAGAAATCTCCCTGTTAGAGAGATCAAGATTTTCCACTTGATGGCCACATCGTCAACCTTGATACCTAAGGCAAATAATTAATTTAAACTGTCACGCTATTTAGCAGGAAATTCACAAAAATGGTTCATCATCTTGTATCCTCAAACTCCCGAATGGAGGTCTACCTATGGAGTCGAGACATCTGCAGCAACGAACTCCCCCCTTGGGAATCTACCAGTTTGTTGCACTCTAAATTTATAGTTTTGCAATTAGCGATCCTACGGAACTCATTTGGTGTCGCGGCATTGAATATCGCTCGCATTCAAGCCTTTTGAGTTTCACCCCCTTGTCTAATTCTCAATTTTAATCCACAGCTTCGACGATTTTACTTCAACCACCACTTCACCACTTTCAACTTGTGTGGTGGTCGTGGAAGCCCTCCAACCCTCTTGGAGAGTCAAGCACACTCTCTCATCAATCCATTTTTGAATATGCTCTCCTACAAGCTTTCCATTTTGCAAAGTGCGATCCATAGAAGAGTGGTGGTCGTCCAACTGATCCACTTTCCTTTTGAGAACCCATTCAAGACTAACTAGTGATAATGATAGGTTTCTCCACAATTACCCAGAGGGGGTGAATTGATTTTTCAATTTTTGCCCAAATTGTTTACGAATTAAAGCCAATGTTGACCACAATTTCCTTTTCCTACAAATATGAAGTGAAGAATGTGAGAAACCTTTCAGTCACCACAAACCCTTTGTACCATGAGCATATGCAATTAATTCACTCAGCTCAATCTCACAGCTATCCCAACAAACCCAGAAACCCAATTGCACACCTATGGGTGAGAGATTTCCATAGAATCAAATAAACAAGCACATAGTGCGTGTGTGTGCTAACAAATGCAAGTGTGTACAATAGAAAGTAAAGACCACTTGCTATTCGTTGACGCGAAAAACCACCTCTGAAAAAATCTCGAGGAACCTCCCTAGGTTCACCAAAGCTGAATCCACTACTATTGAAGTTGCCATGCAAGTATTCAAAAATTATACCTCAACCCGTACCATTGTTAGATGCTCCTTTCCTTGCTATGTTTCCCCGTCGAAAGTCCCACTCCCACAACTTGTGGAGCTTCACTTGAACCTTTTTGCCGCACGGTTCATCTCAGCCTCGAGCGATTGGGGGAAACCCCCAACAATCCTTGTTAGGGACGCACTAGGGATTTCAGTTTCATTAGCAACATTCTTCTTTGAATGCCCACCATTACCATTCTTAAACATTTTTGAGCACGTGCCAACTTGTCGGGGTGATGGGTTGGTGACAGACTTGACAAACACGGCCTTGGAAGAAGTGTGGGAGCGTTCGTTCGTGTTGCCTAATTCATGATTGTCACCCACACGTACTTCCACAGAAAACATCCTATCAAACATCTCATTGGGTTGGGAATGTCGATTGGACAGGTCATTAGATTCACAAAGATCTTTATCAAGTTTCACAAATTTTGACTCAAGATTCTTCTTAGATTTCATGAAGTCTTGCCACTCTCTTTAAAGAAAACGCATGCGGTCAGGAAGGCACTTATTCTCATCTTCTAGGCTACATATTTGGGGGTTGGACTTGAACAAGTCCTCTTGAAGGCCTCATGTCTCTTCTTAACTTGAGTTGACTTGATCACTCAAGTATAGCACCTTGTCTAGCTGCTTGAAGATTTTCACAAACTATTGACCTTATATATCTCGAATATCCACATAGTAATCTTCATCCTCCACACACGTGGGGATTTTCTTGTCCTTGTCATGTATCTCCGTGTTAGGACTTGCTACAACTACATTCGTGGAAGTTTCTCTGTGGGGGAGAGGAGAGAGGTCCTCCAGTGGCCGTAAAGTTCTATTCATCGTCTCCAGAAGTGAGGAGTCATCACCCCAGGTCGACTCACTTTAATGATGGTTCCACTCGGCTTTTATAGCCCTCCAAATTTCACTGTACAAACCTCCCTTCTTTTTATGTGCGCTTTCCGGTACAACATTTCCCAATCCTTAACATTCAAAAAATTGCAAACCTTGCCCCTTTTTGTCAACTTCTTTTTGGGAGTTCTTTCCCCTTATTTCTCTTCATTCCGTTGGAGTGCTATGTCTACTAGGTATTCCTTTAGGCCATGTGGACTCAACATTACTAGTCTTGAAATATTTTCAGAACTTCCTTGCCATCCTATGTCCTCCTCGCAAAAATGGGGTGAGCCGGATTTACATTTTGCTTCATTATTTTGAGCTCAAGGGCATGCCCTTAGCTTATTTTAAGGATAGAAAGATCACCTCAAAGGTCAATATAGACACCACTAGGTCTTCTACCGATACCAACTCTATGTTGACACTTGTCTCCAAGGATGAGACCTATACAAGAAATCTCCCGGTTAGAGAGATCAAGATTTTCCACTTGATGGCCACATCTTCAACCTTGATACCTAATGCAAATAATTAATTTATAGTGCCACGCAATTTAGCAGGAAATTCACTAAATGGTTCATCATCTTGAATCCTGAAACTCTCGAATAGAGGTCTACCTCTGGAGTCAAGACATCTGTAGTAAGGAAGTCCCCCCTTGGGAAACAACCAGTTTGTTGCACTCTACATTTCTATTTTTGCAATTAGCGATCCTTCGGAACTCATTTGGGGTCGCGACATTGAATATCGCATTCAAGCCTTTTGTGTTTCACCCCCTTGACTCTTTCTCATTTTTAATCCTTAGCTTCGATGATTTTACATCAACCATGACTTAACCCTTTTCAACTTGTGTGGTGGTCGTGGAAGCCCTCCAATACTCTTTGAGAGTCAACCACACTCTCTCATCAATCGATTTTTGAAAATGCTCTGCTACCAGCTTTCCATTTTGCAAAGTTCAATCCATCGAAGAGTGGTGGTCGTCCAATTGAACTACTTTCCTTTTGAGAACCCATTGAAAACTAACTTTTCTTACAAATATGAAGCAATGAATGTGAGAAACCCATTGATATGCAATTAATTCACTCAGCTCAATCTCACGGCGATCCCAACAAACCCATAAACCCAATTGCACACCTATTGTTGAAAGATTTCCGTGCAATCAAATAAACTACCACACAATGCGTGTGTGTGCTTACTAATGCAAGTGTGTACTATAGAAAGTAAAGACCACAATCAAATTGTTGATGCAAAAAATCCCCTCTGAAAAAACTGTGAGGAACCTCCCTTGGTTCACCAAAGCAGAATCCATTACTTTTGAAGTCGACATGCAAGTACTAGAGAATTGTACATCAACCAATACCATGGTTAGATGCTCCTTTCCTTGCTATGTTTCCCCGTTGAATGTCCCTTTCAGACGTCTTGTGCAGCTTCACTTGGACCTCTTTGTCGCACGGTTCACCTCGGCCTCGAGCGATTACGGGCACCCCAACAATCCTTCCTAGGCACACACCAGTGATTTTGGATTCATTAGCAATATTCTTCTTTGAAGTCCCACCCTTACCCTTCTTAAAAGATTTTGAGCATGTGCCAACTTGTCGGGGTGATGGGTTGGTGATACACTTGACAAACACGGCCTTCGAAGAAGTGTGGGTGTGTTCGTTCGTGTTGCCTAAGCCACGATTGTCACCTACATGTATTCCCACAGAAAACATCCTATCAAATGACACTTTGGGTTTGGGATGTCTATTGGAGAGCACATTCGATTACAAAGATCTTTATCAAGTTTGACACATTTTGACTCAAGATTCTTTTTAGATTTGACGAGCTCTTGCCACTCTCTCTAAAGAAAATGCATTCGGTCAGGGAGGGACTTGTTCTCAACTTCTAGGCTACGTATTTTAGCCTTGGACTTGAACAAGTCCTCTTGAAGGCCTCTTGTCTCTTCTTCACTTGAGTTGGCTTGATCACTTAAGTATAGCACCTTATCTTGTTGCTTGAAGAATTGCACAAACTATTGACCTTATACACCTTGAATATCCCCTTAGAAATCTTCATCCTCCACACACATGGGGATTTCCTTGTCCTTGTCCTTGTCATGTACCTCCGTGGTAAGACTTGCTACAACTATGTTCGTGGACATTTCTCTGTGGAGGAGAGGAGAGAGGTCCTCCAGTTGCCGTAAAGTTCTATTCATCGTCTCAACAGGAGAAGAGTCATCAGCCAAGGTCGACTCACTTTCACAATCGTGCCACTTGGCTTTCATAGCCCTCCAAATTTCACTGTGGAAATCTCTCTTGTTTTTATGTGTGCTTTCTGATACAACATGTCCAAATCCTTGACATTCAAAGCATTGCAAACCTTGCCCCTTTCTGTTAACTTCTTTTTGGGAGTGCTTTTCCCTTTTTCTCTTCCTTCCTTAGGAGTGCTACGTTTACTTGTCATTCCTTTCGGCCATGTGGACTTAACATTACCAGTTTTGAAATATTTTTTAAACTTCCTTGTCATCCCAAGTCCTCCTTGCAAAATCGGAGTGACCCGAATTTACCTCCTCCTTGATTATTTGGGGTCAAGGCCATGCCCTTTGCTTACTTTAAGGTTGGAAGGATCACCTAAAAAGTCAAGATAGACACCACTAGGTCTTCTACCAACACCAACTCTTTGTTGACACTTGTCTCCAAGGATGAGACCTTTACACGAAATCTCCCAGTTAGAGGGATCAAGAATTTCCACTTCATGGCCACATCGTCAACCTTGATACCTAATGCAAATAATTAATTTACAGTGTCATGCAATTTAGCAGGAAATTTACTAAATGTTTCATCATCTTGTATCCTCAAACTCTCGAACTGAGGGGTCTACCTCTGAAGTCAAGACATCTCCACCAAGGAAGTCTCTCTGTGGGAAACAACTAGTTTGTCGCACGCTACATTTGTAGTTTTGCAATTAGTGATCCTTCGGAACTCATTTGGTCTCGCGGCATTAAATATCCCATTCAAACCTTTTGGGTTTCACCTCGTGCACTCATTCTCATTTTTATTCCATAGCTTCAACGATTTTAGTTCAACCACCACTTTACCACTTTCAACTTGGGTGGTGGTCGTGGAATGCACCTATGGTTGAAAGATTTCCATACATTCAAATAAACAACCATACGGTGCGTCTGTGTGCTAACAAATGCAAGTGTGTACAATAGAAAATGAAGACCACTAGCTATTTTTTGGTGCAAAAAACCCCCTCTGAAAAAACCATGAAGAGCCTGCCTAGGTTCACCAATGCAGAATCCATTACTTTCAAAGTTGGAATGCAAGTACTCAAGAATTATACCTCAACCAATACCATGGTTAGATGCTCTTTTCCTTGCTATGTTTCTCCGTCCAAAGTCCCTCTCCGACGTCTTGTGTAGCTTCACTTAAACCCTTTTGCCGCACAGTTCATCTACGCCTCGGAGAATATGGACACCCAAACAATCCTTGCTAGGCACGCACCAGTGATTTCAGTTTCATTCGCAACATTCTTCTTTGAATTCCCACCCTTACCATTCTTAAAATATTTTGAGCATGTGCCAACTAGTCGGGGTGATGGATTGGTGATACACTTGACAGCCACAGCCTTGGAAGAAGTGTGGGTGTGTTCGTTCATTTTGCCTAAACCACGATTGCCACCCACACATATTTCCATGGAAAGCATCCTATCAAACGTCTCTTTGGGTTCAGGATGTCTATTGGAGAGCTCATTCGATTCACGAAGATCTTTATCAAGTTTGACACATTTTGACTCAAGATTTTTCTTAGATTTGACGAGCTCTTGCCACTCTCTCTAAAGAAAACGTATTCGATCAGGGTGGGATTTGTTCTCAACTTCTCGGCTACGTATTTGGGCCTTGGGCTTGAACAAGTCCTCTTGAAGGCCTCTTGTGTCTTCTTCACGCGAGTTGACTTGATCACTCAAGTAGAGCACCTTATCTAGTTGCTTGAAGAATTGCACAAACTATTGACCACATAAATCTTGAATATCCTCGTAGTAATCTTCATCCTCTAAACACGTGGGGATTTCCTTGTCCTTGTCATGTACCTCTATGGTAGGACTTGCTACCATAGAGGAGAGAGGAGAGAGGTTCTCAACTTGAGAATGGCCGGTGAACTTAGGAAGTTTGAAATGAATGAGTTGGAAAAGATTTGACGAGATGCGTATGAGAGCTCCAAAATCTCAAAGGAACGGGCTAAGATCTTTCACGATAATTCCATTGTACGAAAATCATTTTGGCCCCGGTCAAAAAGTGCTTTTACACAATTCTTGCCTCTTAATTTTCTAGGGAAAACTCTGATCTTGTTGGAATGGACCCTATCCTGTCAAGGTGGCCTTCCTCAACGGAGCTGTTGAGATCATAAACCCCAAAGATGGCCAAACATTCAAAGTAAATGGCTAAAGGCTTAAGCCATTCTTCGAGGGTTTTGAAGGGAAAGAAGTGGCGAAAGATTTGACGGATCTTGTATATCCGGATTTGATGGAGGACTTGGTAGTGTTTATGATTTCTAGTGTACAGTTACTTTTTTTTAACTTATGTTATTTCTATTTCATGTCACCTACTTTCGTTGGTTGTATAGCATTGTTTTCTTAGTTTCAAATCCTGGTGTTTTTGTTGAAGGTCAATCGCGTGGTGTTCTCTAACCCTATTCATCTTTTTACTGTCCTTCATTGCATATTATATCTTTTTGTTGCATTGAGGATAATGCATGATTCAAGTTGGGGGGGTGAGGTGCACTATTTGCATGGTACACAAAGGTTGTTAGTGAAAAATATGTGAAAATTTTGAAAATTTTTGAGGAAAAATATCTGATTGTTGACCTGTATTCCTTTATGAAGAGTGTTTGAGTTAAATGACATATTGATCGTTGTTGTGAACTTTGAGCACATGAGCATACTATGAAAATTAATCCTAGGCGTGAGTATCACATATGTATTGATTTTTGAAATCAAATGTATGTGACTGTTGAATGTGTAATTTCATTAATTTGTGGATTGGATTCATGTTTTAAGCTTGACATAAGTAGTGGAGATGAGTAAGGACCCATGAGAGTTTTAGTGGCAAACCTTTTTGGGAGGGAACTTACATTTACTAAAAGAATGATTTTTCAAGGTCAAATTTGTTCAATAATCTCATTACACTTGTTTTTGGTTAGGTGCAATTGGATAGTAGGCTAACTCGTCTTGACTGTATAATGCCATTCCATGGGGACCTGGAAGTGATCTTAGGCCATCCCTGAATATTTTGAGCCTTTGCCCTTTTTTCTTGAGAAATTATTTATCCCTAGTGCCATGTTTGAACCTTGTTGAAAATTTGTTTCTATGCCACACATTAAACCAAACGAGAAAAAAAATATATCTATCTCACCTTGGTTGTTCGTGGTGCTAAGTATGAATGATCATAAAAGCGAAGGAAGTGTGGTGCTATGTACGTTGAAAACATCAAAATCTTAAATCATGTTACAATTTCGGAACTGACTTTGGGCATGATTTGCCAATTGTGGTTCATATGTGTGCTTCAAGTCCTTGGTAGGATAGGCGTCTTAGAATGGGTGTAAGATGTGTTGGAATTGAGTTAGGATGGATTGGATGTGAATTTTTGAATAAAGGATTGGTTTTGCAGCAAGAGCAAAACCTTACGGAAGGTTTCGATTAAAACCTTCCGGATTTTTTTAAACAAAAGCAGTGAGTAAAACCTTCGGGAAGGTTTTACCTACTTGGTTTTTTAAACAAAGGCAGTAAGCAAAACCTTCCGGAAGGTTTTGCCTAAAAAATTAAAAACGAGGGTTTTAAAGTCGAAAAGTTTGGAAAACCTTTCACATTTCCAATCCATCTCTTGCTCTCAAACCCTTGCCTCTCCTTCTACTCTCTTCTAACCTTCAAACTGCTTCCCCCAAATCTCAAAATTCTTACTTTCTCTTGATTTAGGTTTACTTTTAGGGTGTTTTATCCGAAAAAAACCAAGTGTTTTTCAAGCAAACCCTAGAATTCCATTTCCCCTAAAATTTTGAATTTCTCTTTAATCTTCTCCAATCTCTTCAACTTCTTGGTGATGGCTTGTGCAAGAGTAATGTCTATGGAGGTAGTTCATGCCATTGAGAGTGTGTGGAGGTTGTTTTTGGTGGCTCTTGGGTTGGGGGCACTGTTGATGCTCATGGCCCGGACCAAGAGCACTGGCCCCGGTGCTTCTCCACCCCCTCCGACTCCACATCCAAGAAGAGGAACGGTGAGAGTCCTAGCTCGCAAGATAAGGCGAAGTGGAGGACGAAGGCAAGACACGATGCCTGCAAGCAACGTATCAAGGAAAAGGGCGTGATGTGTGAACACTATGTGGATAGAGTTTCGTTGGGGCCTAAAAACGAGGTGGTGAAAATTATTGAACAACGGGTTGAATTTGTGGTTTTAGGAGGTCAAGGGGTACAATTTAGGGATGTTTTGTGAGTTTTACCAGAAGTTGGTTGTTTTTGGTGACAATGGGAGTAAGCTAAAGACGATTGTGAGGGGCAAAGCAATTGAGGTGACCCCGGACTCAATAGCCACGGCGATGGGGTACGTGAGACCTTCCCCGACCACTAAGGTCTACCCACACAATGTGGAAAAGGGTAGGACTCTCAAGGACTACGTGGCCCTCACCTATGAGGACCCCGACCACGTTCACTGGAATAACTTTGGTCGGGGGCCTCAAGCATGCATACAGGGTCATGAATAAAGTCCTCCATTATAATATGATGTCCCAGGGTTCAGAGAAGAACCCAAACATTGAGAAGCTCGCATTACTGCATGCCTTTATGACGGGAGTTACCATTGACATGGCATATTACATTTGGTTGGAGATGAGAGAGTTTGCCCAGGCTGCAAAGCCAAAGGCAAATCTCCTTTTTGGTAGCTTAGTCACCCGTCTCTGTGCTCAGGCTAAGGTAAAACTCTATGCCCAAGATGTTCTCCTCCCTATAGACAATGGAGCAATTGGGAAGTCCAGCAGTAGCAAGAGAGCTGCTAGGACTGGGAGAGAAAGAGGTAGGACCCCGAGGCCACAACTATCAGATGCTGGCACATCTTCTTCAGCACCCCCATCGCCTGCACCTACTTCGGCTCGCATCATGTCGCAAACGCATAGATGCTATTGAGTCAACTGTGTGTGGCATGTCTGAGATGTTGATATAGCTATTCTAGCAGACCTACCCGAGAAGGCCTATTCCCGGAGGACCACCACCACAGCCTTCAGCTAGTCCCTCTACTTTCGTTCTCGTGCCTTCTACGACTGTGGAGGTACGAGATGTTGATGATGATGAGGAAGAGTTAGAGTCCGAGTCCGAGTCTGAGACTAAGACTGAGGACAAGGATGTTTTCGACAGGGATGATGATGATTAGGGGGATTTTTTGGTTTTCATTTTGAGCTTTTGGTTGTACACGACTAGGGTCTCCAGTATTAGCTAGTAGAAGTGTCATTAGGTTTTGGCCGTTTTGTTTCAGGACTTGAATACATTGTAAAGAACTTTTTGAAGTGATCAATGGAAAAATACCACTGTTGTTACATTTACATCCGTGCCCAAGCTATTTCCTTAATTGCAATGTGATTTGTGGATCTTGAATTGTTGTGATTTTTACTTTTATGGATGAATGAGTTTTGCTTTAATTTTATAGCTAAGCTTGGAAATAATGTTTGCTAGGGACTAGCAAAACTCAAGTTGGGGAGTGTGATTAGCACAAAAAGACGACATACATTGTGTGCTAATATGCCTTTTATACTTGTTTATAGTCATGAATTTAGGGATAAATGTGCTTAACTTTCGTTTTGATGGATTTTTGTGTGAATGCAAGTAAAACAATGTAAAAATGGTATGAGTTATACCCCGATTAAAGTGGTTGAAGTCAATGAAGAAGAAGGGGTAGCTTAAAGGAAGGTTTGGAGGGAGAAGAAACCAAGAAAATGGAATTTGGTTGAAGACCTTCCAAAAGGTTTTGCCTTGGATTTCTTTTTCACTGCCAAAACCTTCTGGAAGGTTATGTCCACTGGAATGAACCTTCCGGAAGGTTTTGCCTACTAGAGTGAAACCTTCCGGAAGGTTTTGTCTACTGGAATGAACCTTTTGGGAGGTTTTGCTTGTTGACCTCTTCATTTAACTGTTCCTACACAAACCTTCCGGAAGGTTTTCTGTCGACCATCCGAAAGGTTTTGGCCAGATTTCCTAGGTAGCCTGCATCTCAGGCTCTACCATTTGGGGGTCCCACTTACTTCTCCAATAGACCCCCTGACATCCCCTGCACATCTTGGAGCCTCCCCTCACCTCTACTTGGACTTGGATGGCTTTTGCATTAATGAGGGGAGAGAAAAGAAGTTTGGGAGAGAGAAGAATGGAGGCTGGTCCTATTCTGCACCATGCAGCCCCTATGGATGGAAATCACATCACTCAGTTGAGAGGGGACTCCAAGCCTGTTTTTTGGGGGAAAAGGACCTTATTGTTCAGCATCGCATGTAATAGAAGATATATAGAGAGAGAAGGTCTGGGTAGAAGATGATGAATAGTGTTCTAGTGAGAGAAAATTTAGACATTTGGATTTCTTTCAATACATTGTCTTGTAATCCCTGACATGAATTTTTAGGGCTTCATTTA